GTATTTCGATTATTAAGATTTCTTAATCCTCTGAATCCCCTAGTATCATTAATGGATAAATTTTTATACATTTATAAAAAATTTCAAAATATAAAAATTCATAGAATAGATTAAATATAAAAAATTCTGTGAAATTTTCGAAATATAGTACCAATTATAAGATTTAACAACTTAAATAAATTTCTAGTTAAATTATATTTCTTTAATAATTTAGATAAATATGAATTTGTATAAATATCCGCAGTTATAACTATAAAAATTTATATCACTAAACTTAAATTATTAAAATTTTAAATATTTGATTTTATTTTGATTTTATTTTCCATTTTCTGCGATAAAAATGACTGAAATTCAATTAAATGAAATTGAATTAAATAACTTATCTAAATTTTTTATGATTTCAATATTGGTTAAAAGTTGATACCATCTTATCACAGGATGATCATGATCGAGTAAAAACTATTGAAACACTGTCGAAGAAACTTGAAGAACTGTTCGAGGAACATTTTGCGAGTTGGGACTTCGACAATATTAGTGGTAGTCCAAGGGAAAGTTCACCAGTGCTGCATCGATTTAAAATGGCTGGACAAAAATCAATAACTGAACGTTACGGTAACACGAAGAAATGTTCGTCTTCTTCGATCACCGATAACATATAATATCTGCTATATAGTATATGCTTTCTACAACATCAAACTGCGCTCGAAGAATTATTGTGTCTATCGTTTTATTCTTATTATTATTAGATTAACAGATGACTGATTGCATCGATTTTATGTAAAATTTATTAGATTCGAAATTAAGTATATCTGTAAGGATCGATCATAATAACATGTTCCAGTCATGTCAGTTCATATTGTTGTCGCATCGTGGGCGTTCTACGGTTCTTTTTTCCTTTCGCAACGCAACTTGCTATGTTAAAATATTTCTTGTCTACTTACAAACGAGCGAAAGTTTAAACGCTTAATTTTCTGGTACATACATCGGTATAAGGTAATGCATCTTAAATGTGAAACAAGACCATAGTTAATTGCTCGGTTTTTATCATTGATATTATACATATAAAAAGAAAAGATAGTAATACTAATTACTTAATAACGTTGACCATAGCCTGCAACTTCAGAGTCCTCAATTATCATTAAAAGAAAAATAATCCTGAGTATTTTGTTCTAACAAGATTGGAATATAATTAAACGAAAATAGTGAAAGCGATTATAAGAATAAAGAGGAAAAGTGTTATAAGAATATTTTCCATTTTTAATGTGATCAATATACATGAAATATATTATACGAGTGAGAAGAAAAGAGAACTATTATAATATAAAATTGTACTGTCAAGCAAATAAAATATTGACCAAATAAAATAGTTGAAAAAAAAAAAATGAAAAATCCCGCGTTATCACGATGAAGAACAACGCATGCGCAGTACAGGCGCTACAATCCGGTAAAGTTAACACGCACATACCGTAGAGAAATATCAGTTGTGCGATTCAAGTAGTGTGCGCACATGGATTATAATAATGTCAAACATCGAGAGAATGGAAAGATGGCGGTCGAGCGGTAATTTTGTGATGCACGGGGTATAGTCTATGAATGGTGTGTGTTACATTCCCAAGAGATTCATCAAAATCATAATATTATTGTGCAATGTGACTACATACTGATCACGACCGCCCTGTGAAGCAGACCGTGACAAGAAAGGAAGGACAACGACGGAGACGAGTAGAAAAGTTAAGGAGAGTGAGAGAGCAGGAGAGTAGAAAAAGAAAACGGACCCAGTTTGCACGTAACGAGTGTAGAAGCGGTTCATTGCTCTGCTCTGACTTGTCGCCAAGATGGATTGGGATTCGATCACGATGGCGAGTCTTCATCTGACGATGACCGAGCATCAATATTACGAAGATATTTTTAGTTATTGCTGTGAAAATACAGACAATGACAGTGTACCGGTGATCAAAGTTGCCGAACTACTACGCTCGGCAAATTTACCAGCGGTTGTCACGATGAAGGTAAATTAGATCAACTCATTATACATAGGCTGTCAGCTGTTGGTTTTCTGTCACACGCATATTACGATATTGAAATTATAAAATCTCTTTAATCGTATGTAAGTGAGCGTTTAATTAGTCGAACGTGACAGGATATGAAGAAATTACAGAAGCCTATAAAGGTTAGGATTAGGGGACTGTTTCGAGAAGATTATAAATATTCTAATTGAATGACGAATTAAAACAGTTATGTCTTTATGCTTTCAAATCGAAAACAAGTCAAATCCATATTTTTAAGGCCAATATTGATATGTTATTATTCTGGCAACAATGTATTATGTTCTGACAAAAATTTATGGTACTTATATAAATTTGAAAATGTAAATTATAACGTTCGTCGAATATACGAAAATACATTGGTTGAGGAAAGAACATGTTAATATCATCAATAATTTATTCCAAATTTTTGTAAAATGATAATAAAATGAAACATTTTAAATTGATTTCTCAAGTTTAAAAAATTTTTCCAAAATAAATAAAATGTGTTAACAGTTTATCTCAAATGATTTAGATTCAGAAATATTTTATTTATATAAATATTTTATATTTTTATCGATAAATAAAATAGAATAAGTATAAAATGAAAATTTCAATTATTTAAACTTTTAGATTTATAAATATATGTTATATATTAATCTAATTTACTGCTTTTTATAAAATATTCAATATAACACATATAAATGTAACATATAACATATTATATATTATGGATATAATCATAAATACAGAAATATTTAAAATAATTTTAAATAAAATATTAATCATGCTTATTAGCAAAATATATTTTTCTCATTTATAGATATTGGATATCTGTTTTGGGACTGAAGCAGCGCACATTGGTACGCATCTGGGGAAAAAACAATTTTATGTATTGTTGAAGCTTGTAGCAGCTCATCAAGCAGGACTCAGTATTCGTAAAGATATAATTACTATGCCTTTGGATGTTATCACCTTACCAAGATTTACTTGGCCAACATCTGGAGAAGAAGATGGTAGAAGGAGCTTAGATTCAAACAGAGCTATAACAGGTCACCGACATGCTCCTGAGAGTACTACAGAAAGTGAAAGTGAAGCAGAATCTCCGAGGGAAACTGGCGGTAGTACAGATTCACCAACACCAACAAATAGCATAATACAAGAAAGAAACAATGACATAGGTGGTGAAACGATATTAGATTCTGTATCTGGAGGTTGGCAAGGATTATTGGTATCCGAAGAACAGAGGCAGTTATTAGGAACCGAAGAAGAAAGTTCAGAGCGTCATAGTAGTGACGAAGGAGAAGGAGATGGCGATGGCTCGTTCCCACCCGAAGAAGTATGGATAATTAGTGATGAACAACGTGAATATTATGCTACTCAATTTGCACAATTACAACTTGATCCTGAGGGACTTTTGCATGGTTCTATAGCCAGGACATTTTTTGAAAAGTCTGGACTTCCTTTAGGAGAACTTAGTCGTATTTGGCAACTTGCAGATATTACCAGAGATGGAGCATTGAGTTTACAAGAATTTTTTGTGGCTATGCATCTTGTTGTGTTACGAAGAAATCATGTGCCTCTACCTGATGTCTTACCTCCACCATTATTAATTCCTTTGCTTAAACAAAAGACTGGTCCACCACCTATTCCATCAACTACAACTACAACTACTCAAAAAAGTTCACCTAATACAACTGGTACTCGTGAAAGAAATAAAGAATGGACAAAATTTGTTGATTCACCAACTGGGACTAGCAGTTCTTTGACTAGTCCAGGCTTACAATTAGTGAATTTTGATTTTCAAAAGTCTGCTGTTGAAAAAGATCCTAAAATTTTGCATCCTGTACCATTACGTTTAACGCCTGAAGCAGCAATTCTTGCTTCTGGAGCAAACGGTAACAGTAGCAGCTGCACTACGTTGGGTGATGATGATCTCCAACGTTCTGCAAGTGCATTGGTGCAACGACCTCTTATTAAAAAACCACCTCCACCTCCTGAAGAAGCTATTATAGTAACTCCAAAGAAGGAACCACCACCTCCACCACCACCCAGACCATATAGAACACATGCAAGAAGTTCTAGTCTTGATCTTAATAAATTAGGTATATGTTGCTACCAATACTCTGCGATACTTTTCATCTGTGGCTGAGAAAGCAAAGTTTTACGCTTCAAACTGTGCGCGTTCTTGTAGGGAAAAATGGTCAAAGTTTCCTTGGAGCACCTCCACTAGTTCCACCAAGAATCTCTCCTGGAATTGTAAGTTCTTTTATTTATTTTTAAATCATTTCATTACTAAATATTTAAATTAAAGCTAATAATAATGAGACCTACATTTAATTAAGCTGCTTTTTATGGATCTGCGCAGTAGATATTTCAGATATTTTAGATGTTATCATGTTATGGATTCGGAAAATTAAAACATATAGGCAAAATTATTGTTATAAAGAAAATTTTGTCATGTATCTCTACTACAGACTTCACCTCGAAAATTGGTCGGTCAAAAAAGTGAGGGAGAGGGACAAAAAACCTTAAATGAAAGTCAAGGTTTTGTTGCTGATTTTTCTCACTTTTCTCCAAAGAGCGAACTACCTGAAAATTCATCTTTGGAAACTCCGCAATCACAACAATTTACTGGTGTCTGTGGTGCATTTCATATTTATAGAAAACCCAGTCCAAGTGAGTTCTTCAGTTTCTTTTTTTTATCTAAATTCCAATATATTTTTATAGATTTTAAAATTTTATTGCCTCTTACCTTTCTATTTTACTTACAGAGCGAGAAGGAGATGAAGATGCTCCTAAGGATGAATTGGAAGAATCAAAAAAATTAACATTACAAGAATTACGAGAGAAAAACGCTGAATTGCGATTAGTTTGTGAAGAATTGACACGAGAATTAGCTAGCGCACTTCAGGAACGTATAAATCTTCGTGCAAAACTCTTACTTTTAACATGATGTAATCTGTTATCATCTGTAAAGACTCCAAACTATGAATTATTGATTTTTCCTAAATTTGTTGTAAAATCGAATATCTCATGTGTCATGCTAGTCTAGAGTATTTCCTTTTGCAAAGTTTCGTATATTCATAACGGTAGCGTAACCAAAAAATAACATTACAGAACAGATATTAATAAAAATTATCCACTTAACTATTCAACTATTTCTACTGTCAATTATTGCTTAAAATATTATTTAGATTTTAAATGTCCCTTTATACATTTTTCATGCTATAATAATGTGTAGTTCGCTGATACTTATAAATATTTAAATTATGTTTTATTAAAAAGAAATAGATGTTTCTGATTAGCAAGAATGAAAAAATATCAACGAATATCAAAATTCTTTGTGGTTACGCTATGATTCACATTTTATCCTTTTTCACAGATAATTCCAGTGTGCATTATTAGAAGCGTGGATACAAATATTGTAGCAACATCTGCCACTCTAGTATTCAAATGTTATAGCATTTTAACGTTCAAATAATTTTAAAAACTTATATTTTTTATGCATAGTACTGTGCTAAATTGCTGAGAAATAGTTCTTTATATATTACAGAGTTTTTAAAGTTGAATAATCGCATCAAGCGGAATGAAAACTTGATGGTTACTGTATACTACAAAACTATTAAAAAAAGAAAAAAAAACATAAAAGCGAGTGATGGATGTTTATTGTTTAATAACAAAATAAAACTGTATTTTCGTATTGCTGTACTACTAAATTTTTCACAGCATGGCATAAGAAATTGGTATTCCTAAAGTGTTATAATGTATTTCTTTTCGTGATGTAATTGTATATAGCAAATAGAATTAGAACAAGGAATGAGAGAAAACGAAGTCTGCAGGAACAGAACACTCAAAAAATAAATGTACTTTAAAAAGAAACATTAATACTTTCAATCAATTTGTATGTTCTACTTTTAAAAGATTATTCAATGTATTACTTTTAATCACAAGAAAGAATATTATGTTCAATTATTGCTATTGTTTCCTTAAATGTGATAACTTGTATATAAAAACATACTAGAAAATGCTTTGTTCAGTATCTTTGTTCGATACTGATTTTATTATAAAAATTAATTTAATATAACTGAGAAATATAAAACAACTATTCCTTGTGCCATATAATGCAATACTTTAATAACATTGTAATTAATATTACAGTCATTTGTGACAGCTAAAAACTTTTGTTAAAACTGTTTAAAAATATTCCAATCAATAATCGTATTAAAATATCTTTTTGTAAGTGTACAGATGTACAGAAAGTATATGAGTTAACTGTTATGTAAGTTAACTGTTGATTTATTCCATTCCTACTATTCATGTAATCCTGTAAAAATGTATTAATACATAAAAAGATAAAGAAATGTTTAAAAAATTAAATAAAGCATTCTTTTAGTTTCATAACAATTTTTATTGAAATCAATGTATTGGATGATAAATAATATTACAGGAAAAAATTACAAATATTTTAAAATTTTGATTGTAAATGTGATGAAAATAAATAAAATGACAAAAAGTAATTAAATGTAACATACATCAGTTTTACTGTATGAAACAAGAATAATTTATGTTGCATGTGTCTACTCTCACAAATATATATTATATTTGCACTTTTATTCAAAAGACAAAAATTCGAATTACGTAATGTAACAAACTGTAAAATCTGCTTTCTTTTAGACAAAAATTCAAATTATGTAATGTGCCAAACTTTAAAATCTGCTTTCTTTTGTACTTGTTTTGATAATCAATGCCTATATATTATTAGTTACAACTATTTATTATGTATGGAAAAAAACTTTAGTTTTACTAAAAATATTCTCAATTTCACAGTTTATTCAGTTGTTGGTTTTCTACTGATATTTAATTTGAAACATCCATACAATAACGATATACTCATATAACATTATCATATAGAACAATTTACGAGTTGTTACATATAAATATACGTAAAATTTTAGTTATCCTTCGTTTGTATGTACTTAATTAAATCAATTACACGGTTAGAATAACCAAATTCATTATCGTACCATGAAATTAACTTGACAAAGTTATCATTCAAAGATATACCGGCTTTAGCATCAAAAATACTGGAATGGTTATCACCAATAAAATCAGAAGATACTAATTCATCCTCTGTATATCCCAAAATTCCCTTCAACGGCCCTTCAGCAGCTTCTTTTACTTTAGCTTTAATAGCATCATAGCTTGCAGGTTTGGCAAGTCTAACCGTTAAATCAACAACCGATACATTATGTACCGGTACACGGAATGCCATACCAGTCAGTTTTCCATTAAGAGCTGGAATAACTTTGCCAACAGCTTTAGCTGCTCCAGTTGCAGCAGGAATAATATTTTGTGCAGCACCACGACCGTCACGCCACAACTATTATATAATCAAGTAAAAAACAATAGCATAATTAACATGATAAAAGAAACACCAATTATAAACTGAAGGAATATATTATTAGATAAAAATTTGATATACCTTTCCAGAAGGTCCATCAACGGTTTTTTGAGTAGCAGTAATAGCATGTACAGTAGTCATAAGACCCTCAATGATTTCAAAATTGTCGTGAATAACTTTAGCAAGAGGTGCTAGACAATTAGTAGTGCAAGAAGCATTAGAAATAACTTTGTAACTTGGATCATAAGCATCTAGATTAACACCAACAACAAACATAGGTGCATCAGCTGATGGTGCAGAAATAATAACTTTCTTTGCACCACCTTCTAAATGAGCCTAAAAAATTAAAATGATGAAATATTTATATATACATACATTTAAAACTCTTTCATAAAAATAAATACATTTCTACATACAGAGGCTTTATCTATGGTAGTAAAAACACCAGTGGATTCTACGACGTATTCAGCTCCAGCTTTTCCCCATGGAATAGCTTTCGGATCACGCTCACTGAACACAGCAATTTTATTACCATTGACAACTAAGCAGCCATCTTCGACTTTTATTTCTCCCTTGAATCTTCCATGAGTGGAGTCATATTTGAACATATATACCATATAATCCAAACCAATGAAGGGATCATTAATGGCCACAACCTATTAAAAATAATTAGAGAAGTGTGTTAAAAATTTTAAAAACGAAAGTACAAAAGCATGATAAAAATGATTTAGTAATAATTAACATATAATTACTTACCTGGGCACCACGCTCAAGCGAAGCTCTAAGTACAAGACGGCCAATACGGCCAAATCCGTTGATTCCGATTTTGCTCATGTCGTAATCTTCTGTGCAACTGGAAAATGACTGATTTAGCTTTTGATGACATATTTTTTGCTCAACAAATATTCGTTGCCTTTTACAAACTAATTTTGTTATTGATATAAGTGAAGTTAATCTCAATATCAACGGCATAACCTCAAATAAATTGAAAGTATTTTGCCGATTTATAATGATCAATTTTCTAATTTATAATGATATTATTTTTTCAATTAAGTTAGAAATATTGTTTTAATTAGATTACAAATATATATTTGTAAATCTGTATTTACATTATTTACATAAATTGTGATTTTATACGTATGCTGATTTATTGTAAATGCAATTGTGTTTTGTTGTAAACATTATTTATGAAACAAAAAATGTGAATAACTTCATCTATGAACGTCGAAGTATTAAAAAGAATTTAGTTTCCAATAGTTAAAATAATTTTTATCGTATTACTGAATTGAGTAATTTATTATATTTATTAAAAATGGAAATCTCATTATAATATAAATATTTATATTATAGAAAGAACATGGTTTAAGATTAAAGGTCATTCAAGGTCAAAAAGACTTCAATGCTTTGCATCAAATCTGTATTTAAAGCAAACTTTTTCACATATTCATTTCGATTTTTACAATATATGTAATATATTTATATTATATATATGTATATATTTATATTTTATATGCCATGTAATTTTTAATTAGATTGAGACCAAAGAAATGACGCAACATATGAAAATATACATTAGTATATACTATGTTACTATTTTATTCGATTTCAAAAGTCATTATTTGAAATTTAAAGATCTAACTTTTAAATTTCTCTTTTAAAACATTTACAAAAATATCGATGTAATTGTAAAATTTAAAAGATTCAATAATGAGTATATCAAATTATACGAATCGTATAAAAATAAAATATTTCATTTTACATCAATCTAAATACAATAAAATTGTGAATTTTAATTAATTAAAAAATAGAAATGATTTTATATTCAACAAAATTCGCTGATATATTTCATAGAATTTCGATTTATCGAAGTCCTCGTTTTTAAACAATGTTTAAATGATTTTTTGTAAGTTAAAAAGTTTGGTTGATTACATGACAAAATGAGCATGAATAATATGCATAACATATACTATTCAATAAATATAATAAAATCCTAATAAAAATTAAAAAGATGATTCCATGAAAAGACAAATTCGGACATTTTAGAACCAATACATGCTTTCTCGAAGATTCTTAAACAGATTCTGCAGAAATTATTATAGGAAGGTACATACTAGAATTTGAATGACGTCATATCAACCGGTATGAATATAACGAGTACATACATACTATGTAATTGCACAAGCAAAATATAAATTATTATTTTATTGCTAATTTATTAACATCAATTGAGTAACTACAGTTTATCACACAATATAATGTAACAAAACAATTCAATTGTAGAAAAATATACAACAAATTAATGCTAAAAATTCGTGATACTTACGTGAGATAATAATGCGAACGCTACGCTTATTCCAAAAGCAGTGTCATTTGAAGGGCAGAGAACAGTAATATAACCGGCATCAATTCTAGGTATATGCGCTGTAACCGTTTCTTATTTTCGTACATCATCGGCTATACTCGGATCACGTGAAATACATTGTTATCGACGTATTCCAATGCCGCTAAATTTAAACTTGTTCGTGCGACGTTTCTTTATTTAAGATTTATTTAAAATTTAAGGAAATGAATTAAATAGAATTAACAGATATTTATTTTTATATATTTGTACAATATATAATTTATATATTAATATTATTTATAACAAGAAAACAAAAAAACTTACTTAGCAATAAATGAAATTATACAATAATAATAAATTGATTATATAAAACATAATTACATAAAACATAATGTCATAATATATCTTTATTATCGAATAATAATTAATCTTCACTTTCATCTAATTCCTGTGTAGATACTGGTATATTACCAGAATCAACTTGGTACATATATCGTATCAAATCCACTATACGATATGCATAACCATATTCATTATCATACCTATAAATATTTACATTTTCGTTTATTAATTAAAAAACTTTACGTTTATTTCATTAATTGAAATTTTTTCTATATTTATATTTTAAAATTAATGAATTTGAAAATTTGCCACAGAATACTCTGGATTAATTGGATGTGAAGTTCATTATTTTATCATTGGAATGAATAAAATTATAATAAGTCACTTATAATTTATAAATAGTAAACAATCATTGAGCGTTTGTATTACTATTTAAATTAAGAACATGCATCTAAGAAATAATTTTATAAAATTTAAAAATATTATTTATGAAATAATTTGTTTCAATAATTACCAAGCAACAACTTTAATAAATGTACTTGTTTGAGGAATGCCAGCTTTGGCATCAAAAACACATGAATATCTTGTAGAATTGAAATCAGATGAAACACAGTCATCATCTGTGTAACCCAATATACCTTTTAAATCATTCTCTGATGCTGCTTTCATTGCTTCCTTTACTTCTTCATATGTTGTCGGTTTATTGACTCTGTAGTTAATAAAATTATATAAATATAACATTGTAATTTGACAGATCAAATATAATAACAGTAAATTACTGTTGCTGTAAACTTTATTCTTTATCTTAATGTTAGTTGTAAAGTGTTTTTATGTAAATTCATGAATATAATTTGAAAGAATATAATTAAAAAAGTAAAATTTCGGTAGAAGATTGTTTTACTTACTATATGTAAAAAAAATATATTTTAAATTATTATATTTGTATTATACTTTTTTGTTATATGTATTCTGTATAATTTTCTATAAATATATAAAAGTCAGCAGTGTATGAAATCTGAAATTATCTGAAGCTATCTGTTTGAAAATCACTTTG